CACAAAGGTAACTACAAACACCAGCTGAAAGGACTCTGACAGAACAGGGAAAGATGCACCAATACGAATGTGTACCTGGAAGATCACAAGTTACTGGTAAGCAAGCTGGTTTTCTACTTGCAAATTATATCCCTCCTGGGCTTTTCCTTTGCAGGTGTTTCTAAAGGAGGAACTCCACATACTGCTAATTCCCAGAGCCATGACACTGCTGGGTGAACCCCTAGAGCCTTTCACGCAAACTACAACCACTGGACTATTTCATCAAACGCCGCACAACCTCCGCAATGGCAGAAACTACTGATATACCTGGAAGTGTGCAGAGCAGACACTGCATTTGATGAGTGGCTGCTGTCTATTTGATGGGTGAGGCATTCCACACAAGGGAAGGAAGTCCCCAATAGGCTGCTAGCATTCCTACATACCCCACTAGCCGCTCGCCAACTACTCTGTATGGAAGAGCCCAGTTGCTTGGATCTTTCAACCAATGACACAAACAGCTTGAGAACCATCTGAAGGATCTGGTCCTGCTTGTGAGGGGTGGACAAATCTGACTGTGTTACTAACAGCTTGCCCCTAAATAAAAAAGACCATGTACTGATAGAGGAAGCAAACAAGGGCAAAGAATGGACCTTGACAGCACAGAACTCTCCCACTTCACAGGCAAACGGCAAATACCATAAAACAATACTTTCCTGGGTAGATGAGTAAGGCATACAATACTGAAGGCTGGCACATAAGAATAGTGAAAAAAAGTTTACATTCCACTGTAGACAACTGTATATTAAAAGCTATTTAAGCAGCTCCTTTATGATGTTGGGATGACTGTAAGAAGAGCAAAACTTCATTTTCTGAAAAAGATGAAGGAGGATGATAGCCAAAGAGAGTGAGAAATAGACCAGGCTCCTCCAGCTCAAATAAATGGTCCAATGTGATTTGCAGTAAGAAGACCTCTCAGGTGACAAGAAGTTTGTATGTTTTCCTGTAGGTACTTGGAAAAGAATGCTCCTGCCTCAGTGAAGCCTTCAAAGGACTTCTAGAAGAAAAGAAAGTCTCAGGTGTCTGGAGGCCTGCACGCTGACGGAAGAGATGAGATGCAGTACCACAGAAAACAACTGAGGGCTGCCTTTTGCTGTCTGCTTTTGGCCTTGGGAGGGTTGTGGAATTCAGCAGCAGCAGGCATGGGAGGTGGAGAGCCTGCTCAGTGCTTATATGCTGCAGATGAAGGTACACTCTGCCAACAGGGGTTGTATATGCTTCTTCCCTCTTGCCTATTAAATGTCTTTACCTGATTAAAGTAAGAATAATAAGAGTACAACTGCCTTCTTGATGTCAAGCTCCAATTTTGATTCATAATTCAAGAGGGTAGAAAAGCTTTTTGGACTGAACTCCCATGTCCCTCTTTCAAGGAGTCAAAATTATGCTAACAGGAGAAATCCTAGCATACAGAAGAGCCACAAAGCAGGAGTGCAGAAAGACTGGGGTGGCTGTGAGGTGACTTTAAAGGAGCCCGAAACAGAGATGGTGGTTCTAGATATGGTTTGATATTGAAGAGATGAATGACAGTGCTTCTGTTTTGGCAAGGATGGCTGCAAAAGGGTCAGAAAGTTCCAGTTAGAAGACAACAAATTTTCTGCAGGCAGTGTGCATCTTTATGCATGATAGGGGTGAGGAAAAGGGTCTCTTGCATTAGTTTTTGGCTTTTTTCAGGATTTTCTTCTGCAAAATGTAATGCTGAAGGACTGAGGTTTACAAAACACAACTTCTACAGCTGCTAAGGATCTGGACTAAGGAGCCTCAGGGTATGCTAAATGGGGTGATATGGGTGACTGATCTCAGCCTCCTGGAAGGTATTTCAAACAGGGTGTCCAGCAATTTGCAAGATACCAGTCACTGAAAACACAGCAGGCTGGCCTTGGGGCACCACAGCTCTACCCTGGGATACAAAGATGGCATTAGAGCCAGTTTCAGGACACAGCTGCAGATCTTGAACTCCAGGTTTTTATCCTGGTGGGACTCAAGTGTATATGAACAGACAACAGACAAATCAGGCTCAGAATCCTTACTGAAGTAAAAAAAATAAATAACTGGCATCTAAGCCACTACACTTGGATGCAAGTACTGCACAGAAATGAAGGGCAGCCTTTGATAAACCACTGAAATGCTTTAAGTGTTCCATCTAAAGGACAACTAAGGAGGCTCTAGATTTATTAAACTTATGTGAGTATATCAGCTATCTCTATTCTACTGGTATTATACCATGCTTGAGAAAGAGGGAAACCACTGGGAAAACCAGCAAACCGCTCCTCAGTACTTAATGGTAAATGGTGTAAAAAGAACAGTGTCAAAATTTAAGATCTGTAGGACCTGTTTTACCAGACTTCATTTGATTTATGGAGTTGATCCCTTATGGTGTATCTCACTACAATAACTGCATGAAATAGCACTGGTCTGATCACACTATCGTGGCATTTGTATATACACTGAGAACTTTCAGTTTCCGAATAGGCATACAAAATCATAACATAAAATGATGTATCAGTCAAGATTTGTACTTAAGATAACACTTAATAATACTGCTTTAGTATATAGAGAAGTGTAAAATACCGAGTTACAGTGAATTGCGTATGTGTCTTGGAGCCAATCCAACACCTCAATTTTATTTCCAGCTTTTGATTTACGAAAGCTGGAAAACTTAAAAAATAATGTAAAAGAACAAAACTTTTAAACCTGACCTTATTCCCACTTGCTTTTTTATTATCCCTTTTTATATGAGACATGCAAAAAGCTTGAACACTTCCTTATTCCTTTCCTTTTAGGAGAACTTTGTACATGCCTCTCATTAAAATTTATGAATATCTGAAGTGGTGTGGATGAAAAAATACATTCATGGGTGAAGCATGAGTGAAGCACAGTAACTTGAACTACCTTAAATGGTTCTCCCATACCTGCTTGAAATATACAGATTTGTGTACTCTGTTAATAAATAAATAGATGGAATAGCTTCTGCAGGAAATAAGACAGTTTGACTAGCATTTCACTCTGAAAGAAGCAGGATTCTTCTTGCAATCTGCAAGAGAGTCCTGTAGATGGTTAATATCTACAAAGAAGAATATATCTACTGTAAATTACTTGCTATCACTTCCAAGTTTATTATGATTTTTTCACACATAAACACCCACAACCACACATCCCACTCCTCTCGACCTCAAGAAAACACAGTAAAGGGCAGGGAGCATCAAAGGGATTGGAAAAAAAAAAAAGAAACCCAAACAAACAACAACAAAGGAAGTGGAAGATTTTATCTGCATTAGATCTTCTTCTCTAAAAACTCTCCCAATACCCTAATGATACACAGCTTTCTTAGTACCAAACTATACCAAACTTTGTTGTATGAATGAAACTGCAAGTATTATGATTCTACATACCTTGAACATAAAATTTTACATGCATTTAAGACAATGTAAATTAAGGCATCGATTTATACTCATGTTCTCAACAAGCTTACTTAAAGCCATGGAAGAAAAAATTACATTCATTCAAAGGACTGATTTATTAGTATTCAGGCCTCACAATCACCCAAGTTTGCTGCTCCATCCACTGGAAGATGCTAATAGCACAAACTGCTGTTTGCAAAAGCTGATGTTGAACAGGTGGTCTTTCAAAAACTCAACTACTCTAAATCTAACTACTCTGTCTTATTCAATTTTATCTTACAGTTTTCTACTATTTTCACAGTGCAAGTTGTAACAAGATACCCCTTGTAAGAAGAACTGGCACACAAAATACTCTTCATAAGAACCAGAACATTCTGACACTTAGTGAAATCCAACCAAGACTGATCGCAATCTTAAAATAGTGGATTCCCAGGCATGCTGAAAACTTTTCTGTTTTTCTCTTGTTAATTAGAATGCAATGTACGATACATGGCATTCATTTCATCACTGTTGTTAAGTTGCAAGATCAGAAAAGAAGTCCAGGTTCTGAGCACATGATATAACCAACTTATCTTCATTTGAAGAATAAAACCTTATTTATAGCCCAAGGAAAGCACAAATCTTTTGTCTTACAGATACACAGAAATAAGGGGGGGGAGGGATGCAGGTAGGAGGTGGGGGAAATACCACTTTATTATTCCAAACCATCAGTCGGTAGTCACTTACTGCTCCTTAACTGCAGTACGCTTAGTACAGTAAGATGATAAACTTTCTAGCAATGACCAGGTAGTAAAGTCACACTTACTAAAAGTTTCCATGCTGAGTGTAAAAAAGCGCTGACCTAAATAATGAACCTTTCTAACTCTCTTCCAATGACACTAACTACATTTCTATAAGAATAAATGCCAGTGAAAGTCTGAGGACCTTTCAACAGAACCCAAGCAATATAATCTATTACATTCATCATTCTTCTGTCACCACCAATAAAACAAAACCAAAACCCAAACTGAAAATCAACCCTCTCCTCCATATCCAACAGCAGCCCCTCCCTTTCAGTCCCCAAAGCCCTGCCAGAATTTCCAACTCTTAGTTTTTATGTCAGTTTTAAATATTCTGATTCAAGTCTGAATGTACTGCTTCTCACGTCCAAAACTTTTACATTATATGGCTATGTAGCAATTGCTGAATGCGAAGCTAAATGAAAACAAGCCCACTTTGCCACTTCAATCTTTTTGTAAGCAGGCTTTGAAACAAACACAGGCTACAGGCTATCAATAATAACAATTCACAAAAACCTGCTGAGTCACACTGCTCCACCCCCCTGGCTGAATGGTATCACTAGGAGCTAAAATTCTCCTCTGGTAACTGCTTTCTTTTTCAAGCAACTGCTGTGGTTGGCACAGATATGTTACAGTAAGTCAGATATGTGACCCAGAACAGTATGCCTTCAAACACCTATAATAAAAAAATTAAACTATCGTACACTCACACTGAACTGAAATTGAAGTATTCACCTACTAATGAAACATCACACAATAGCAATACCATTAGTTTGCTTCAACTTACCATTGAAAGGCATTGTAATGGAAGTAGACCAAACCAAGGCCATATAAAAAGGCAGCATTCTGTAAAAGAAAGAAGCAGTGTTTAAAACTCAGATAACACAACCATAGGCTGTCAGAATGATTTTCCAGTATTTTACTTATCCTTTGACATTGTACTTATATTTCACCTTGAACAGGAAGGAAAAAAAAAAAAAAAAAAGAAGGAATGGAAAGACAGGAAGATAATAATAAAAATAGTAATTAAAAAAAAGTTATTCTTCACCACGTATTTTTTGAGGAATAGAAACAACAATAATATTCAAGTACTTTTACATCAGAGAAACTGATGCGTTTTGTTCTACCTGTACAACAGCAGGGAAGGAAATGACAAAGTAGAGGTCTTAAGCAATTAATTATAATAAAAAATGTTTTATGACTGAACACCATTTCATAGTCATAATAATTTATACAAATATACAAGTAAACAAAGCTACACACCCCGATTTCAGTGTCTAAAGTAGAACATTAATTACATGAATCTGAAAATATGCCTAAGGAAATTTCACTTTTCTGAATACCAAAACTACAGACACTGGCTTCAAGCCCAAGATAATCACATTTCTTCATCATTAATCAAATTTATATTTTCCCTACTTCCCAAAGTAAGGAAATAGAAAATAGAAAAGGGGGGGGGGAAGGGAGGAGAGGCGGGGAAGAGGGAGAAGAACCACTCTCCCTCTGGAAACCCATTTTCTTTCCACAGAAAAGTATGACTTGCTTCTAAAGTGACATTACGCTAAGGATGTTTAATGCATGTTTAATTATCTAATTCTACAAATAATTAGTACGTATATCCTGAATTAGAAAAAGCAATTTATTTTTCCCATGTAAAAGTTATGCCACACCATAGTTGTTTTCTATTTAGCAGAGCTGTTCCATTAATTACAGGAGACAACACGTACGTGCTGCCTATAACACATTTTTAGACTTTTCTTATATACAATTCTGGTTTTGAGAGACAAGGAATGAATCCCAAAGAACACAAAGCTCCGGCACATGGACAAGAGATAGAATTCCCATTGTCAAAGACTGCAGCTCAAGATAATGCCTCTATCACTTGTTCAACAAGTCAAATTTCGGTTCAATTACATGAAAGGAATCCTAGGTACGCCTTAAAACCAATCCAAATATAACCAATTTTCTCCTAGAAAATAACTGTTAACCAGAACACAATTCAAAGAGCAACATTCATCAGAAACAGGACCCAATACTACCATTTCATTATACCTCATTTGTGTCTTCTAAATGCAAATTAAAACCAGGGGAAATGCCAAAGATCCTTTCATGAATACAGCTGGATCATAGCTTCAGCCATGGACAGCTTCCAAGAAAATTATGTGGTATGACCAGACACTACAGCAATCAGAGCACTGGAAGATGTTAACAGGGGGAGCGAAGGGGGAAGTACATAAACAATAAAAAGATGACACTTTACTACTACCATAAAACTCACATTCCTGTTTAATTGAACAAAAACACAACATGGACATCTGAAAGATAAAAGATCTCTCATTCTGTACTCCATGCATTTCCTGCTTTCCGAGTGTGCTCGGGCATCAACAGACTAGGAAAGAAGGCAAGCTCGAAAACTGAGCATACGTAATGCCTTAAAGTCACTTTAAATAAAAAAGAAAGAGAGATTTTCATGTATGCAACATGGAAGATTCAAAACACAGCGCACGCCTAGTAATCTTTATAGTGTCAGGCTCATTTGGAGAACAGAACTTAACAAAACTGTCCAGAGATCCCACAGCTGCAATCAAGACTAGATCATTGTAAAGATTAGAATAACAGTAATAACAAAATCCTTCATCACCACACTGCAAGATTCAAGAAAAATACGCCAGACAACTAAAACATCTTCAAAGAATTTAATTTCCTCTTCTGAAACCTATTAGAGTTCACGGTCCAAATGAGTTACAGATTCAGAAGATTAATCTAGATGATTATTTTGATCCTAAGGGTTAATCATGACCAATTTCCAAGGCACAACAGGACAAAAATGTAGGTGATTTGTCCAAATGTAATTAATGTATCAAGTTCACCTGACGCTCTCAGGTTGTTCTTGCCCCAGTAAAACACAAATCAGCCATTACTGCTCTGTCCCTTGTTCTGTGACTGTTTTTCCCATTTTTCTCTTGTTCTCATTTGGCCTCACAAAGCATTTGAGACCTTGAAAATCTGTTAAACTGACACTGTCTTGTCAATATAAAACAGGGCAAGATTTAGGACCCTGTAATACTTTACTTCACATGTAAAGGTAAAAATTCTGAAATGTCAGGATGGATCGTATTTATCTGTCCTGAAATACTACAGCTCTAACCGCATGTAACATACATAACACCATTAGTACTGCTTGTTGATTATTAGATTTGTCATCAGAAAGGTAAGAAAAATACCCTTTAATCTGTGTTTGAAGCTCAGTAGGACTTTCACAACGACTGGCAGATATCAGCACTTTAGTGTATGCAGTGTTTTCCCACAAACAACTCAAGGTGAGAAGTACATAAAATTCACTACTTCAGCAACTAACTTTTCTGCCTGTATTGCAGAATACCATCATGTCCGACGTGCAGCCAAGTTCCTGTTGGCAACATCCAGTATGAAAGGCTAGAACAACTTAATGCATTACCAGGACAAGCAAGATCATTACACAAAATTTTCATCTGCAAAATGTCCTTTTACTTAACATCACAAGATTCTGTGACTCTGTTTACAAGGAACACACTCCATCTTTAAATAAAGGAATAAATAAATAAATAAATACATATCTGTTTTCAAGTTGCCTTTGTTAATTCTATTTGGACAAGTTTAGCACAAAAAGTATCCATCGCATGTTTTCCAGTAAGATTACCTTTGTAATTTAACCCCTGCTATTCAGAATACTGCTATAAATAGCTGGTAAAGTGGAATATAAACCCAGTTTTCCCCCTCCAAACATTTTAAAGTGAGGAGTAGAAAACAAAATAATCAAACAAAACTATCTCTTATAATCCTTTCCTTGAACCTTCTTAACAACTCTCACAATTTTTGAAGATCTTATGCTAACAAAACTCACTCTTCGGTTACTAACTTTTAATGCAATTTTTATGTCATCAGAGCTCTCCACTAAAATCTACAGTAAATGAAAAAAAAAATAATCCCTGCAAACTGAAACAGACTGTACCTCAAATCTGAAGTTAAATGTCTGCATTTTTTCATCTACAGCCATGTTATTAAAAAGCATGGACAAAAATTAGAAATGCCATTCCCAATTAGATGTCATTCACATTTTCTACAAACTATCAAGAATGTTAGAATGTTTCACACCAACCACTAGATGGCTCAAATACTTCTTTCCATTTTACAAAATACACTTATGTAATTTAAGAAGATTGTCAAGTTTATTTTGTGTACCATTACTTACACGCACTATTTAGTGCTAAGCAACATTTCAGTCGTATTTGACAACACGTGTGAGTATGAGCTACAGTTTTTTACTTCAGGTAATTCAGAAGGCAAAAGATGCATCTGTATGCACCTTTATATGTAACTGAGACAAGAAAGCACATTGAAGACTTTCTGGTCTTGTTTTAAGCAATCATGGGGAAAAAAAAATAAATTAACAAACGAGGAAAATTCCGTCCATCTCACAGACCTTCTGCAATAACCCAAGTAACTGGTTTATAGCCTCTCTGAAGCAACAGATGGAAACAGATCCCAAACATACATGTGCTCTATTCTCTAGCCATTTCAGGCCAATTTCACAACAAAAGTTTTTTCTCCATCTTCAAGAGTGCAGTCAGTTGTTCCGGCAGAAAGCCATGAGACCAGAACATCACAGTTACACTTTGTCGACAAACACAGGGTCAGAAAAATGCACCTGTCCTGTGTAGCAAGCGTCCATACTCACATTCAAGACTTAATCAATGGCCATCTTTGAATCTATAAATGTACAGCTACCACATCTCAGTGCAGATGTTTTTCACCTATAACGTGTGTACCTTCCACAGGCATTTGAGACCTGATTTGTGTTTTATAAACACAAGAATATATACAAAGAAGTTAGGCATGCAAAGGAAAATGTCTTCAGCAGGCAAGTCTAGAAAGAGAGTGGAAAAACACAGGGCAACATTGAGTTGGGACCTTGCAACTTAAAAATGAACAGTTTTTGCCATAGTTTCATAGCACTGCTGATTCAGAAACATTCCCTAACACTGCCTCTTAATTTTGCTGATAGTCATTTGTATAGTACTATAGCCAGCTCGATGCCAGAACTGATATGTGTTATTAATATACAGATTAAAAAGAAACAAAAAAAAAGATCATTTTTAACTGGATCGGTTTCCCAGCCATGTTCACTGTGTAACCCCCACCCTCAGCAACTTCATTAGCACAAATGAAAGTGGAATGTAGCAAAGTAAAATCTCTTCAAGCCTACACTGCTACTAAGAAAACACATATTGAACCTACAAGGACTTTCAAACAGAAAGAGTGAAATTCTGAAGATTTTAACAGGCAACCTGTCCTTTTTTATAAAAAAAAGGGAAAAGCTCAATACTTTAGATATTATAACTAAACATATATTATAAATGATGTAAATGTTTGACTTGAGAGGAATTAACTTCTACGGGTCAGTAAAAGATGGATAAAAGCATGGAATAACACCACAGCCTGCCTGTCAGCCTTCACCATGCAGGTAGGTCCTTAATCAGTGAGAAATACAAGCAAATATACCATTTCTTCTTTATGACTATAAGGGGCAGGGCCAGACATAGATAAAATAACCCTTTTATTTCATGAAAGGGTTTCTACTATTTATACAGAAATCAGAGTGTACCCCACCTCACTATGAGACAAAAAACAAATCAGAAGAAACAAAGTCCCCATGCAGTTGGGTGGTGGAAGCCTAAAGATGAATGGGGGGGGGGGGGAAAAAGTTCAGCACTCTCATGAGGCCCTTGACTGTAAAGTCTTTGATGACACCTTAAAGTTGCTTTCAGCAGGATTCCAAATGCCCCTTCCACAGCTGCCTAAGCTCC